GTTGCTCCCTACCGCGGCGGTCTGCACGGACACTACAATTCAGTTACCTAAGAATAAATATAAATACGGGTGTCCAACCTCTTGCAGAGGGCACTGGTATCAGTTGGTATCAGTCAACTACAGATAGTTACAATAAGGCATTGGGCAACCCTTTGCTACCCTAAGTGTAAAATGTTTACTCATTGAAAGCAAATATCTTCAACTTTATTCTCCCCGCGAGACCACCTGGGATGGCACTGGCATTACGTTTCGGGGAGTGATCTTCTGAATCAGACCCCATGACATTTTTTCTTCGAATTTGGTGTTAAGTGGCATCGAGAGGTTTCCCCTTCCTTTTTTCTTCAGTCGTCTTAGTTCCAGCAGCAAGGGACACGAGTTTGTTGGCACCAATTGGTACTATTAAATTTTTGAACGCATCTTCGTTGTAGTTTTGACAAATTTCATCAGTGGGAACTATTTTTATTAGACTATCTTATGATTATTTTTATTCGTGAATATTTTACTATTGAACATCAGCGACTTTAAAAATCATCAAGTCAAAATGTGTCAGGGAACGCATTTGTTGGGTTAGCTTACACAAGTCCTTGGACAGGATGACATTAGCTTGACGTAAGTAGACATAATAATTTCCTTAGAATGCGGAGCCGGAAATCAGTCCAAGCTTGAATAATGTTTCAATTCTTTATTTACTCACATAAATTGAAAACATGTTTCATGTAGTCTTGCAGAAAAGCCTCACATGGGAGACCACCGCAGTAGCTCGATCTCAGTAGCTTCAAAATTAAGTGTATGTCGGTATTATACAACTACACGAAATATGACTACTACACGAAATGCATTGTTAAAAAAAATAAGGGACCCAGGACCTGTGTAAGCCAACCCAACAAATCGGTTCCCTGACACATTTTGACTTGATGCCGTTTAATGTTTTTAACCGGTCAACAAGAAAAGGCTTATTATATAGCACATAACATATTCTTTTATGTATGTACTGTGTGTATTGTGTATATTATGTATTTGTATTATTCAACTGTTGTCTTTTAATAAAGTTGTAAAACAAAATTAATTCACTAAATGTATGGTTGACCTCTTGTCATCTCATTAGTCATGAGAAAGATTATGCAGTAAGCCCACTGCGTAGTTATACATTGGGCCGAAGCACAGGAAGATAGCTCAGCCCCTATCTAGAAATATTATGAAAAGGAACATTTCAATAAAATATGTTTTTACTTCTGAAATTATTTTTAAAAAGATACGAAATTTTATTTTATATAAATGGTAAGTAGTAGGGTAACTATAGTGAACACTGTGAAAGTAATGATTGCGTTAAGAACAAAATTAGAAACAAATATTGACGGTTCACACTGGCTTGAGACTTGCAGAACGAAGAGCTTAAGCCTTATAGTGGCGAGAATTAAAACGAAGATAAGTTATTGTTATCCTTATTTTATACCAAAGAATAAGCTGAAAATGACCTATTAGTATGTATATTATCAATATAACAGTTACTTGTATGTTTTGGGACTTTTTTGGTATCAAGGATTTCAAGAACTAGAAAAGTGATTGGCTATTACTGATTGAATAGAATGTTAGACGAATTAGTAAATAGAATGATCTAAATGTTAGTAGAAATATTTGTTTATTAATTATTTAGTGTTAATAACAGTTGATTGTTTTAATATACTCTAAATTCACGACTAAAGATGGTGTTGGATTTGGTTAAATACAAAATACTCTCGAGTTTGCAACCAGTTTCCTAAAGAGAAAATCTAATGACTACTGGTGCCTCTACAAAAACTTGCGCAAATTGTAGGCTGCTTCTAATACCGATATGTATTACAATTGCTAGTCTTTTGAACGACTTTCGCGTACTAGTAAAGCAGTTATATTGAAAGTGACAATGTTTTTGGTTGACATTCCAATTAGTAGCCGAACGTACAGTAAGTTGAGGAAAAGTTTGTGAAACTTCAACTACGAGTTACGCATGTACCGTGTGCTTGAAAAAAATAACATAAATAACTAAATTATAGAAAACCTAATGTAGAATTTTTGTACAAAGAGTACTTTTTACCAAATTCAATTGTTTTTTTATAGATAGGCAAAACATTATGTGTTTTTGTTTAACTCAAATCCCAAAGAACATTTTGGAAAACTTAAGATTCTTGTTCAGCGAACAAAAAAATTAAAAGAATCCAAAAATCCAAACTACACCACAATATGTGTTAGTGAATAACGCAATGAGTGGACTAACATGAATGCATCAGTTAATAACGCGACACGCTCTGTCGATGAAGTTCTTACAGTGGCCACCAGTGTTCTCTGCGTAGCCTACATGCAACAGCGCAGCCATCGCCGAATGCGGGCTCAGCGAAAACTACTTGTTTCACTGTCTCCTGATTCAGGCTGATTTGTCATACCCGCGGCAATACAAGTTTCACTTTAAAAACCTTGTCATAGATCTGAAATAATCCCTAAATATTGCTTGACATTGTTTCTTTCTTTCTTTCTTTCTTTCTTTCTTTCTTTCTTTCCTTCCAATATTTCATACACTATTTTCGAAACCATATTTAACTTAAAAAATATGTTCTCTTTCATTTCGATTACGAGTGACGTTTGAAAATTGATATACTATTAATAATATATGTGGGACCACAAGTTTTTAAAATGCAGCTTAGAATTAAAAGTGACAAAATATTTGAAAAATATGAAGAAAACTTTTGAAAGGGACATCACCACTATTTAATGAAATATTTTTATTCCTAATTTATATTTACAAAACTACAGTTTTACAAAAATATTGGTGCCCACTTATATAATCCTTGAAAGCAAAATATTTAGGAGGTGAGGGTTATTATTAATAAAAGAAACTTTGTAGGTTGCATCTTTTTAATTCAGTATTTTGATGGTATTGAAGTACAATTTGAATGTAATACATGCATTATTTATAATTTTCACATTCCTTGTCTTGAATAGCATGTATTAGGGTAATTTCCTTGTTCAATTGATGTGTGTTTATCAATTCACAACATTCTGTAACATGAATTAATATTATATAGTTAATCTGCAACAACCCACATTTTTAATCAATACACTCGCAGAGAAATGTTAGTATATAAGTTTCCTTTCAATACATTTTCTATTACTGTTTTCAAGAAATGTTCATAATGGTTTTCGTGCTTCTCTAAAAGATCTCGTTAAAGTGAAGCAGCAAGCACAGAGTAGCAGTAGCCAGTAATAATTTTGTTACAGAGAAATATCACTAAAGGATTATACTTGCTAATCGCTAATGAACAGGATATTACAACGCTTGACTAAACAGGATAAATGTGCAAACTTATAGCTATGTTCTCGCATGTTTTGAATATCTTTATAATTTAAGAAGTGATGACACAATCAGAGATGGTTAATCAGCGCCTGCATAAGCTCTCAAGAATAGGAAAGGCGTGCCGTTTGACATTTTTACCTTCGCCCACCTTCAGAATATTATGCCATGAACTTGAATGAATATTATGAAAATACGCACAGCGCAACTTTTGAGGACTTACTAGTTTTACGAGACTGAAATTTACGTAATTTAATTGCTTATATCAAAATGTTTCCTATTCAAATTTGATAAAACTGAAAAGTCTGTTGAATGCAGACCAACTGTTCACTTTTTAGTAGGATATTTGATTAAGTGGCTTAGAAATGTCGAAACTATTTACCTGTTCTTATTATTAATTTATTTTCAGGAATCAAATCAGATACGTTTGAGATAATATAGCCCGTATGTATTTTTACGGTATTTTTTGTGCCGCTAGGGGAGATAAATATATTTGAACTTGTGAATTAGAAAAACTAAACGTTTTTATAAAGAAGAGATGCACAGACTTAGTGATTGAATATTGAGCGACTGTACAATAGATTTAATAGATAAAGTTCGTTTATTCCTAAAAAAGCTATTTCTTCTCTTTGAGACTGATTGCTAACCCTTGAATAAGTCCAATCACGAGGTGTACGTTGACTTTCAAAACAAGCTCTTTTGGAAAATTGTTTTAATTTTTTTGACTTCACTTTTCTGGTTGAATCTGGCATGCATGTACTGTTCTAGGCTTTTCCGATGTTCAATACTGCACTAAACGTTTTCACAAAGAAATCGTCTCAAACGAAGCCTATTGTATTTACTTCTATGAATTATGGCAGCTCGTCCACGTGAGAATAATTGGGGCAACTCGTCCACGTGTGAATAGATTTAGAGGCAATGACGTTAGGAACTGTTAATTGTTGAATGTTCCTCCAACCAGATTAGGAAATTATATTAGAAACCATTTTAGTATTTTATTATCATTCTACATTATTTATCATTGCACATTATATTATATATTTGTAATACGAGGTAAATATCAACAAAATGATTTTATGTTAACGCAATTTGCAGTTACATTTACACAACTCCCCATAAATGTAAACAAAGTCCCCTTTCATATCTTTATGTATTCCTCTCTATACTTAACTTAATTACAATTTTAATACTTTTAATTAATTGCATTACCTTGTGATACGTTGATTTTGTGCATAGGAAGAACGCGTACGCAGTTTCACATTCATCCTGAGCTTCTAAAATAAAACATAAAGAATTATAAAACAAAGAAACCGTGTGGGAGTATTGGATCCTTAAGAGTAGTTGGAGTACGACTTACAGAATAGGTATGTAAATACGTGGTTTTATAAGTACATTTTCAATACAAAATGTTGAGCCGGTTTCTAAAGGAATGCCGCATGAGATTTTCCAAAACAGCGCTATTTTGAACTCATTTTCAAAGAAACGTTTTGAGATTTCGAGAAACTTCTTTGGAAATAATTTGCATTTGAGATGCAATGATTAAAAACGCTATTGAGCACGCTAGGCGCTAGTTGTTCAGAGACTGCGCAGACAAACGGACTTTTTGGGAAAAAACAAAACAAAACATTTTCAGTATCAGTAGACTTCAAATGTGTTTTTGTGTCGAAATCTCGAACCCGATTTTTCGCAGCATTAGTTAACATTCTCTGGACCAAACAAATTACTACATGTATACGAGAGATTAAAACTATTTGAGTCTACACACTGGTGGTAAGTTGAAGACCAACCCTTTTAATTATGAAATTGATGGTGTATGGAAGGCATCAAGTCAGAGACCAACGTAACCGTTATCTGCCTAACGAGCGCGTATGGATAAGCTCTACGAATCGGTAGCTAGTTCAAACTTTCTCCTTAAACTGTTGCAGTAACAATATTAGAACTTCATGTTGTTTACTATAACATCTTGAAAGGTGACATCAAGTACATTTAAAAATGTTGAGGAATTTTGAAACAGTTTTAGGTTGAAATTAGTAGCTGGTGCAACGAATTTTTTTTTATAAAACAATGCAGGCAGATACGATTAAGAAAGAGGTGTCCAAATGCGTGAATTGCATGCATTTGAGCAGCCCTTGATGAAACTACTGTAGCGCCCTTCAGGAATTGATTGGAGAAAACCACATAAATAACTGCTGAGTCCAGTCAGCATCTAGAACCCTTATTCAGATGTAATAATCACCCGACTTAGTTACCTGATGAGACGGCTCAGTGATTGCTATCGTCTCTTGCACGGTCACTGGCCCGGAGGTCATATTATTCGATCCCAAACTTTGGTGGATTTTCAGTACTAGCCAACTTGATATGTCGACAAACCACCAAAGACGACTACCAAAGTGTGGAAGAAAAATCTAACGGGAAGCGACTCCCATCACGTATTCGCGTTTTTTAATAAATAGGCAAAGAAAATGCTGTATGAGACATGGTAGGCGTGAGTTTTTCTTTTTCTCTGTCTCGTCCCGTCCTCTCCCCTAACACACACACACACACTTATGCACTTGTAAAAAGTACACTACCGTACATGTTGGAAGTTTACAGCGTACTCCGCATGGAGCATTGCTTCGGTTGTGGAGATACCTGCAGATGAAAAAACGTCGCAAGCTATTGAGAAGATGGGCACCGGACTTCCCACGCGGAGAAAAATCCGACATAAAAACGAATATTCGCCTGAAAAAGGTGGGTACCTTTTTATCACTCGCAAGGAAACAAGTACACACGTAAGCTTCTGGCGCTCGAATTCATGACGTCTTGTTCTCCGGGTGAAACCGCGTCATTGGCTTAGAGGCCGACGTTTCGCCTATCAAACACCGGAGGTGTAATGCATTCTTGGCTATCCGGGATGAGCCGCGTCTCAGTCAATTGACCGGATAGCCAAGAATGCATTGACTCCGGCCGCGGAAGCCTACGAACCGGTGGTGTAACGTCGCTGCGTCATTGCCCTGAGGAAGCCCACGACATGACAGACAAAACGTCGACCATTCAGCCAACGACGCGGTTTCAGCCGGACAGCCAAAAAGTCATAGGGAACAAGTAGTTGAGTGGCTCAATAAAATACAGCATAAGAATTAAAGATAATTCCCCTTCTAACCTAAAGCAAAACTATATTTATACAAGTGGCAGTTGATACGTGCAATGGGCAATCACTCAAGATATTCATTTGCATCAACACACACCAAAGACGAAAGAAACTACGTTCATTTCATTCCAAACATTCCTGAGTCTAATAATTGTTTCGCCTCTGCATACTCTTCTACCGTTTCTCACGGTCTTGGTGACAAATCACTCAGAAATTACTGGAAAATATTTTCAAATATTCAATACGATGTTTTCATTGCGTTGCTGGTAATATCATTTCAACGAAGTTGATGAGAAAGGGTGCAATTTCTTTCTTTTGACTAGTTTATTTAGTGCGAGACATTTCTGTCTCTTATAGAACTTACCTGGTTTGCTCGCACATTTCTCTACAGCTTCTTCCATTTCACTTAAGTTCTTCCACGTGCTATTTCGTACAACATCAATCATTACTTCTTTATTGTACTTGTTTCCTGTCATCTAGAGAGAGAGAATTGTGGATATATCTCATGAAACACATTTTACTAAATAGGTGTAGAAAAAATACACATAATGATAATAAAAATAATATTAGTAACAATAATATTACCCAATAATATCAACAATAACTATTGTCAAAAACGCAGTAGCAAAAATGCTGATGAACAAAACCACAAAAATAATTTTCCAAAATGTAGCACGCCCATTGCTCAAGAACAAGTAAAATTCTCGTGCACTATACTGCTGCAATTAATTAAATATTTTGACCAAAACAGTCATTGCGATTATTTCACAATTGTATTATAAATACAGTTCAAAATATCCTTATATAACAGGAATACAAATAAAAAACATTGCACTTCCATAATGCAACATGTGAATAGTGAAATTTAAGCGAACGTGTTTTTCCTTGGAGCCTTGCTTCCATTGTGTCGTAAACAGTAATGCACTAAGTGTGAGAATTCAGTCGATGCGCACAATATCAGATTAGGGGTGGTAATACAATCATACACACATGATCAAAAGTACCGGACACGTCCAAAATGGTGTTATGATGGGGTCGTATTTTTCATGGAGGGGGCTTGCGCCTCTTGTTGTTTTGTGTGGCACTATCATGGCACAGGAATGTTGTTTTAAACACCTTGCTTTCCACTGTTGAAGAGCAATTCGGGGAATTGCGATTGCACCTTTCGAACCGATAGAGCACCTGTTCATACTGCATGGCTTGCGTGGGAGTTACACGACAATAACATCCCTGTAATGGACTGGCCTGCACAGAGTCTTCATTTGAATCGAATCGAACACCTTTGGGATGTTTTAAAACGCCGACTTCGTGCCAGGCTTCACCGAATTACATCGATACCTCTCCCCAGTGCAGCACTCCGTGAAGAATGGGCTGCCATTACCCAAGAAACCTTCCAGCACCTGATTGAAAGTATGCCTGTAAAAGTGGGAGCAGTCATCAAAGCTAAGGGTGGGACAACATCCAATTGAATTCCAGCATTATCGATGGAGGGCGCCACGAACTGGTAAGTCATTTTCAGTCACGTACCCGGATACTTTTGATCACATAGTATATTTGCATTTTTCAGTCAAAATCGAAACTGTTTATGGGGGTAGATACAACTTACAGCAGTTAATTATTTAGCACTTTTCCAAATTTTCCTTATTAAAATCATACTCCACAGCAGTGAAAATGAACTGACACACAGAAATATCTTTCTTCCGCAACGAAAAATGTGGTTTTAGCGATAAATAATATTTTGTATTTTATTAAAAATAATAATTCAATCACTTTTTAATGCACTGACGTAGTTTGTATCTCAAATAATTTTGAAGATTTTTAACAAATTTCTTCTTTTGATTTGTTGTCAATTTTATAATTTATCACAAAAACTATTAAACTGAAGTTCTTGTTTTAGCATGGTTTCGTAGATAATACTTGGTTACATACATTCTAAAAATTACACAGTTTTAACATGATTAGGCTTTGAAAAATAATTTAAAAATTAAAAAAAAAAATTAAAAAATAATTTAAAAAAACAAATCGTTTAGAGGTTTTAAGCTGTATATGTCCCCTTAAATGTGTTTAGACTGCGTTTTTGGATATCTGACGAAACACTTGTCACCTTCATACGGTCGGAGACGGAATAGTTTTCCGATAATTTATCTGCATATTTGAAATTAGTAATGCAGATAAAACTAAAAAATTAAAATATAAAGGGCAGGAATATAAGGTGGCTTTAAGTATGCTTACAGAAATTGAATACATTCTGATAGACGACAATATAAAATAGAAAATGGACTTACCAGATTTCTTTCTTCATAAATACAGTACAAGAAACACTATAAAAAAGAAATTTCATGTTCAGTTTAAATTTGATAAAAATTATTTCATTAAAAATACTTATCGAAATTACCTTTGAATCTCTTGTAGGGTTCTCGATTACCTTTTCTTCAAGGAAGATCTTATCTAGGAAAAGTAAAATGTTAGATTACTTTTGAAGCTCTTCTCACACGAAAAATGCACTGACATTGTAAGACTGAGAACAAATTAACCTTGAAATTAATAGATTTATGTTGGTAGTGTTTTGAATTACATGCACTCAAAAAGAACGTACACGCATGTAGTTAAAAATGTTTAGTTCAAACCGGTCATAAACAATAACAAAGTAGTAACAAACACTGCACATTAATCATAACTGATTTTTGCGTCAATTAACAAAACATTCTTCAAAAATTCTGTCTAAAGCGTTGTAGAAATTCCCAATATGTCGCTCTTCAGTATATTAATATTGTAAACACAAATATGTTTTCTTTCCTCTTTCATGTCTTTTATTTAAAATTACCAGGAATGTGTATACATGGTTGTATTTGAGAGTACAGTTATTATAAATTTTTGTATGAAGTTTTCCCGAAACTCAAAAGTTTTGTGTGAAAACTACCTTCAAATACCGCATTTTTAGATACAATGAACAGAAATTTTCTCAAAAAACTGCTAGAAATTCAACTAAAATTTCCACATATGACGAGGTTTTATTTTTTCTATTATATTCGTAAAGTAATGTTTCAGTTGTGCCATTAGGGGATCAAAAAATTGAAAAAAATAAATTTCACAGCTAGGATGAGGGGTGGAGAAAATCGAAAACCCAGACCAAAGAGATTTAAAAAAAACTAACAACTACAAGAGAGTCTATGACATTCTGTAGCCCCCCAGTTGCTTGTTATTGCCTTCGATATGGAGATAGACACTATACACTGCATAACTTCTGAATTGAGAGGATTATGGTAACAAGAGATGTATGAAAACAGCTGAATAATACTACATGTTCACCTATGAGGGGAATTATGGGAAAGAAAAGGAAAACTGATTGAAGTTAACATGCATTTAAATAATAAATAAATGAATCTGAATCTTTAAAATTAGATGAAAAATAAAATGGTGTATGTAGTACCACGGACATTAACTGGTTTAATGATTTCGGTTGCCAAAATGCACTCGGGATTTTGTTGCCACTCGATGATGAGAACCATTATAACGCCCTTGGTGCATAAATAACTATAAGACGTTTACCCGGTGCCCCATGGTTCACAATAAACTTCCAAATGCACCAGAAACTTCAAATCTCATCAGTCTCTGAAATTATATTCAAAACAACCAAAAACGTTTAATCCCTCCCACGCGCGCGGCGATGGAGTAACGATTTGTGTATCGGACTATTATACCCATGTTAGTGGGTTCAAGCCCGATCGAAGCCGTGGGTTTAAATCCTTCGTACGCCTTCCTTCGGAGGGGAAGTAAAGCCGGCTGTCCCATGTTAGTAGATTATTTTCATGTAAAAGATCCTCAAACCTAAATGACGTAGCCTCTGAGCTAAATTCAACTCTCCTTTTTTCGTCCAAGAAATACCTCCTTTCTCCGCTAGTTGGTGAAAGGAGCGTAGCGAAATTTGCGCGGTCAGACGGAAGAGCGGTCCTGATGGCCCGAGTCTCGCCATTTAAAATAAGGCATCAATTCAATTCATGTTCCAGCTCTACTATTTACGCTCCATCTGGGACAAAAAGCAAGTCTCCCACCTTGCAGTCTATCACATTTTCTAAAAGACATTTTTCATCCACCAAATTTTTTGAACACCTCCCACTTATTTGAACGGTCACTCATTCTACATATATTTGAATCACATCCAATTCTATTTCCCTCTAACCCTATTCAAATGATACATCATTGTAAAAGTCGTATAATACGAATTAGAAGTATGCCTTGCGAACTTTAATACCTTGAGAATGAACCATGATTTTCCATTACATATCTCTATATTTAAAGTTGCTTACAGGACTAGTTCAACAGGAAATTTAAAAAGTTAAACATTAGCGCGTAGTTCACTTGAATGTTTTTAACTAATTAATACGAATAAATCAAAAATGTATAGAATATCCTGACTTTTAAAACGTAGCTACTTTACGAACGGGCTCACATTGAGATAAGTAGAAAGTAGACATTTTATGCGTTTCATTTGATGGATTGTTAAGAGTCAAATCTTTGAATATAACAAAAGATATATGATAAATTGTGAAACTAACGCAATTTACATCGCACTAAATACTTACAGCTTACACCAGGAACTTTTTTTGCGCAGACATCAACTGCATGGTTTTCCTAAAATGGAACAAAGTTAAATTCATAAATCATTATAGATTGGGTTGGACAAATACTACTTTCAATACAAAACATCACTAAATTCTACATATTATCTGAGAGAAATATTACATCTTATAAAGAAGTTTTTAAACGTTTATCTTAGACTGACAGTGTGCATCAATCTAACATTTACATTATATTATTTAATTGCGATTTTTTCGTAGACAAAGGAGTATTATCTTCAACAGAAATATCATCTAACATGCTGCTGCATTTTTCCGTTTTAGTAATAAGCTTAGAACTATGAAATGTTGATGAAAATGTTTTGTCTCTATTTTCTCGTTTTTGATGAATTGATTTTAATTACATTCTTAATTTAGAAATTCTAATAGATTTGGAGTGTTAGCTGACTAGAAGTAAAGAGTCTTGTTTTCATCTTTATTTCAAGTATTCTGTTTTTTAGTGATTTGGAGCATTTTTTAAATGTGAACAGTCATCTTTCTACCATCTGCTGCACTATAATCACTTCTCTGAGAGGTCAATCTTTTGGTGACACAGTCCAACCAATTGTATTTCAAACTAGTGCAATAAAGCAACATACGAGAATCATAGGTTATTTTTTGTATTACAGTATTATAAATTTATAAGAGAATCAAACTTAATTTTGCGAAAAACCTTTCTTGTGACGTCTCGGGTATTTGACATCACATCGCAACGGTGGTCGGCTGATCCACTTACCGCCACTTCCTCACGATTCTCTCGCTGCGATTGGCTGACCGTGTGATGACGCAATAATTCGTGTCGTAAAATGCTTATACGTAATCATTTGTGCCGTAAAATGTCCTATTATGAACGATTTATTGCTAGAGAATTTCGTTTATAATGCTGCTATACAGAAAAGTACGTTATTCTTGTGCGTATTTTTACTATGGCAACTAACAGAGAATTGAAACTATTCATCTATTTATTCTAGTATGGCAATAATTTAAATTATAATGTGATGGAGGTCGATTGTGGTTGAGGTAATACCTTGGGGTAATACCAAAAAGTTGTAGGTTATATGAAATTAGACCAATTTTTTTGTATTAAATTGAACCCAAATTAGAAAACGTTTTAATTTCTAAAAAAATAGTAAGAGTAATAGGATAAAAAGACATCGACTGACCAATAAAATTTACTTCGTGTCTCTAACGAACATCAGTATTCACTTGTCACAAGTTTCATTTATTTAAATAACATTTTGTGATATTTTATCATCGTTTATTTTTCTTTGTGCAAAGAAAATCATTTTAACGGAGGTTTCATTCTGGTATACACGACGTTTTAACATTGGTTGTATTCCTACCATTAAATTAAATATTATAGTAGCAATTTCCAGATCTTTGAATTCATATATTAAAAATATATTTTAGAATATATCTGAATTTGATTTTCTGGAAATGCACTTGTTTTACTTACTGAGATCTGTGCGTAGCCAATAGTCAACGTGAGGAGAAGTTGAAAGACAGCAAAGAAATAGGACGTCATGATGGAGAGTTCTTTGTACCATCTGCTGCCGGATAAGAGCGACTCTCTGATTTTATATCAAATGGATTCCATACGAATCTGTCAAAATTGATAGATAGCATCCTGTAAAAAACATATTACAGGAAAACATGACTGAAAATCTATATAACCCGTTTTAATTCCCAATTTTATGCTAGTTACCACTATAAAGTGTGAAGCTACCCATTGTAAAATATGTTATTTTTTGGGGAACTGACAATGTCCATCCGACATGCTCACATGTGTATCCGACAACCAGTACTGAACAACAAAACTGATTTGACTCACCTCAGTTTAGGGAAAAGTTTAGCTTCAAAGGTTGATAATGGGGTGTACGCACGACATTTTTTTTAACGTTACCTTAATTTTTAACTGTTTGAATGTACCCAGTAACTACAAAGTAAATTCGCTACGCATGAGAGCCGGTAGTACGTAAGCTACAGCACAAGATTAGACAAGGTAGATTTCAGCAATTGCTAAGACTTCGAAATGTTACCAAATGTTGAAAAAATAGTAATTGTATGTTTGACAGTCAATGCTGTATAGTTATCAAGGTTTTCAACCAGAGAAAAAAATTCAAAATGTCGTACAAAGTCAGGAATGGTCGTGAATCTGCAATATATTTGCTAAATTACTTTTGATGGTTTCCATCGTGTTCGCTCTCTAACTAGGAATTCGTCATCGACAACATCACATCGGTGTTAGAAAACATTTAATTTTATATTGGCAGCGCTTATTAATTTATAATTTAGGTTTAACTGACAAAACAACGTAAAAAATGTAAATAACAATTAAAAACATTGATCCGAAAAGCTTGAGCGCTAAGGGTCATCTAAAGGGTTCTCCATGTCCTCAGCTCGTTGTACGGAGAAGTTCACGAGAAGAAGATGAGGGCCCTACGCCTACATCACACAAGTTACTTCTTAAGCTTTTAACGCTTCAGACGCTTTATGTTTGTTGCACTTCACCATTAGCGAAATATTAAACATATTTCCCTGATTTTCTTACTTTAATGGGAAAATATAAAAAAGCATCAAAATATATTTTTATTTCAATGAATACTCTCATAATATTTATTTTAATAAATGCAACAAAATGTTACTCAAAATGATTTTTTTTAAATTGCATGTGCTAAATCTATCACGACTACACGTGATTCATTATTTCTGTTTTCAATACGCTGAAAAACGATGATTTTGTGCGATGTGTAACTGACGGATAGAACACTATTCGCTGGCTTCAACTTGAAGGTGAAAAATGTTGAAGTTGGAGAATCGGCTATGAGGA